GGGGGGACCCAGGTGTTCGGGGGAATCAGGTGTCGGGGGGAGGGACTCAGGAGTTGGGGGAACCCAAGTGTCCAGGGGACCTGGGTGACCTGGGTCACCCTGTGACCTTTGGGTGCCCCCATTGACCTTTGGGTGTCCAACCTTGACCTTTAGGTGCCCTTGTTGACCTTAAGGTGCTCCCGTTGGCCTTTGGGTGCCCCCCTTGGTCTTTGGGTGCCCCTGTTGACCTTTGGGTGTCCAACCTTGACCGTTGGGTGCCCCCATTGACCTTTAGGTGCCCCCCTTGACCTTTGGGTGTCCCCCTTGGTCTTTAGGTGCCCCCATTGACCTTTGGGTGTCCCACCTTGACCTTTAGGTGCCCCTGTTGACCTTAAGGTGCCCCCCTTGGTCTTTGGGTGCCCCCCCTTGACCTTTGTGTGCCCCCGTTGACCTTTGGGTGCCCCCCTTGGTCTTTGGGTGCCCCCGTTGACCTTTGGGTGTCCAACCTTGACCTTTGGGTGCCCCCATTGACCTTTAGGTGCCCCTGTTGACCTTTAGGTGCCCGTGTTGGCCTTTGGGTGCCCCCCTTGACCTTTGGGTGTCCCCCTTGGTCTTTAGGTGCCCCCGCTGACCGTTGGGTGCCCCCATTGACCTTTAGGTGCCCCTGTTGACCTTTAGGTGCCCCCCTTGGTCTTTGTGTGCCCCCGTTGACCTTTGGGTGTCCCACCTTGACCTTTAGGTGCCCCCCTTGGCCTTTGGGTGCCGCCCCCTTTGTTTGGGTGGTCCCACCTTGACCTTTGGGTGGTCCCACCTTGACCTTCCCCCACCCTTGTCCCCCCAGACTTCCAGGCCACCCTGGAGGAGGTTCTGCCCGACCTGCAACGCGACGGCGTCCGGGTCTTCTACCTGAGCTCCACCTCCCCCACCCCGGGGGGGGAGCCTCTTCTCCCCGCCATCCAGGAGGCCTCTGACCAACCCTTGCCCACCCACCACCGTCCCACCCCCACCCAAGACTCCAAGGCCCTCTACATCTTCACCTCTGGGACCACGGGTGAGACACCAGGAGCTCCTTGGAGAACCTTGGGTTCTGGGTGCCATGGGGGGAGGAACCCACGGAAGATGCCACCACCACGGGGTTTTGGGGGGTGTTGTTGAGGTGGTTGGAGGTTGTTCTCCATCCCTTGACCATCCAAGGTCCACCTGGGCATGGGTCTCCTTCTCTGGAGACCTCCCAGACCCACCTGGACGTGGTCCTGTGGGATCTGCTGGAGATGATCCTGCTCTGGGTGATCTCCAGGGGTCCCTTCTGACCCCACCAGGCTGTGACTCCATCACCATGGGGATCTCCAAGGCTGGAGCTCCACCATGTCCTCTGGCCACCACCTGGAGCCTTTGGGGTGCCCATTTTAGGGTCCTTGGAGCCCCGACCCACGATGCTCACCTGCTCGAGGTGCCCACCTGGGGGACCTTTGGGTGCCCCTTTGGGATGGAGACCCACCATGTCTGTCCTCTTTGGGATGGGTCCTTCTTCACCCAGCCCTGAACCCACCAGGATGAGGTTCCTCCCAATCAGGAGACCCCCAGGGATGGAGACCCACCATGGCCATGGGTCTGTCCTCCTTGGGGTGGGACCTTCCTCCTCCACCCCTGAACCCACCACAGATCCCATCAGGATCAGGTTCCTCCAAGTTCCTCCCACTCATGAGACCCCCAGGGATGGAGACCCACCATGGCCATGGGTCTGTCCTCCTTGGGGTGGGACCTTCCTCCTCCACCCCTGAACCCACCACAGACCCCACCAGGACCAGGTTCCTCCCACTCATGAGACCCCCAGGGATGGAGACCCACCATGGCCATGGGTCTGTCCTCTTTGGAGTGGGACCTTCTTCACCCCTAAACCCAACCCAGACCCCACCAGGATGAGGTTCCTCAAGGTTCCTCCCACTCCTGAGACCCCCAGGGATGGGGACCCACCATGGCCATGGGTCTGTCCTCCTTGGAATGGGGTTGGTGGGACCTTCTTCCTCCACCCCTGAACCCAACCCAGATCCCACCAGGATGAGGTTCCTCCCAGTGAGGAGACCCCCAGCGATGGGGACCCACCATGTCTGTCCTCCTTGGGGTGGGACCTTCCTCCTCCAGCCCTGAACCCAACCCAGACCCCACCAGGACCAGGTTCCTCCAGGTTCCTCCCAGCCAAGAAACCTCCAGGGATGAAGACCCCACCACCTTGAAGACCTTCAGCTGGACCCAACCCCGAGGAGGCCCCTTCCCACCATCTCCCCCCACCCCTCCCAGGGCTTCCCAAGGCCGCGGTGATCACGGAGCTGAAGCTGCTGATGGTGGCCAGTCTGGGGAGGCTCTGTGGGCTCCGGCCCGACGACGTGGTCTACACCACCCTGCCCCTCTACCACTCGGCCGGGCTCCTCATCGGGCTGGGGGGGTGTCTGGATGTGGGTAGGTCCTTGGGGGGGAGGCAGCTGGTGATGT